GAAAATCAATTTAACTCCGCATTTAGTAATTATGAATATGGGGTCCTTGGTGCTCTTTGAGCTGGGTTGTTTTCTTGCAGACATTTTATTACCCAGCTAGGTAACATCATCAGTGCTAGTCGTGCATTATGCACCTATGTTTTACTTTTCTGCTGCCCATCACAGTCTCTTCATCATCAGTACACTTGAGGTTTCAGACTTGAACAGAAAATTAACATTGGGGACTCCGTTTTCTACAATTGTACTTAACCTTGTTGGTGTTTACAAGAATATACGAATGAATAATATTTGTGCCTAATGCTGGACTAAAATCAATAAAATCCAGTGTTTTTCTAAAACTGTTAAATATGAGTTGCGAATCAATTGCATATTGCCTTGGTGTCAAAATTACCTTTAGACATTATCTTGGGGAGAAAGTTCTTGCAAGCTGAGAGATTTGCTGCATTTCCTACTGTTGATTTTAAAGGCACTATTTGCTGACATGATACCAGAGGCCCATCTACTGGCCAACAGGTGTGTTTTGTTTTGTTTTTACAGGTACAGTTTTACACAATTCAGAAATGTAGTTAACTCTAGCAAGTCTTCAGAAAGATAATAACAGAATGAAACAAAACAGAGGCCAAGGATTAAAAAAAATAATTTAAAAAATGGAAATTTAGTGAGGAGGCTGGTGAAAGAAAACCCACCAACCTAACAACAAAAAACAGTGTCCAAGTATCAAAGCAGACAGAATTGGGAAACCATGGATAGTGCAAGATTATAAAAGCGTCCTTACAGTATAGGGATTCGCTACACTACACACAGTAATGGCCTACTTTATTGTGTTAAAATCATGCACTGTCAGCCATCTTAATCATAACTTCCTATGTTATTAAGCTGTGTTAGTCTGTTGCAGAAAAAATGTGCAGTGCTCTATTGTCAAGCGCAAAAGACCAGCTCCACACATGAAGTTTCCATTAAACTGATTTATTGCTAAAAGCAACCACAGGAATCTCCTCAACTAAGGCTGGGCAACTTGTTAGAGTTAGATAAGGGCCAACAGCACAGAAGGAGGGATTCTTTCACCTACATCTATCACCTTAAAAGCTAATGAATTTATCATGGTATACACATTCATGGACAGGGTTTAATTATTCTCCTTTAGGAGGCAAGTAGAAATAAAAACAAAATTAGTCAGTGACAGCTTAATTATTTAAATATTTAGAAAAGAGGCACCATGACAACTCAAGAGCAGTAAGAAATGACCTGGGTCTGTTGTTTAAGCTTAATTGCCAAGCTGTAATTCAACAACTTCACATTCAATTGAAGTTCTTCTGTTCAGAGTACTGGATTGATCAGAATAGACTCTAATCTTAAGCTTGTCTAATCTAATCTTATGCTTTCAAAGGATTAGATGTTACTCAGATCTCAAAATAAAGCACCCAATGATCTAATGAGGATTTACAACTTAGTTCAAGATATCCCTATGACAATGATTCTATTTGCCTAGCAATTCAGCTAGAAAAGATTGCTTAGTTTCATGTGGATTTTTGAAGGATGGTTAAACAAATCAATTTAACCATCTTTCAAAAATCCACATGAAATTATGCAATGCATAAACATCAAAGCTGAGGAAAAGTGGGAAGAAGGTAATACATTTATCATTCTTGATCAGCATGTTGGAGTCTATATACGGTAACAGTACAGGAAGTCCTTGACTTATGGCCACAATTGAGCCCAAACTTTCTTTTGCTAAGTGATAACATTTGTTAAGTGAGCTTTGACCCATTTTACGACCTTTCTTGCCACAGTGTTAAGTGAATCTTTGCAGGTATTAAATGATCATGTGACCACGGGGATGCTACAATGATCATAAGTGTGAAAAATGGTCGTACGTTACCTCTTTCAGTGCCGTTGTAATTTCGAACAGTCACCAAATGAATGGTTGTAAGTTGAGTAATACCTGCAAAGCCTTTTGTGACTTCTATTCTAGTTACCTGTCAACGAAGATGATCAGGGGACTGGAGGCTAAAACATATAAGGAGCGGCTGCTGGAATTGGTTATGTCTAGTTCAGGGGTAGGCAACCTTGGCTCTTTTATGACTCGTGGACTTCAACTCCCAGAATTCCTGAGCCAGCTATGTTGACTCAGGAATTCTGGGAATTGAAGTCCATGAGTCATAAAAGAACCAAGCTTGCATATCTCTGGTCTAGTTTAATGAAGAGAAGGACGAGGGGGGACATGATAGCAGTCTTCCAATATCTCAGGGGCTGCCCCAAAAAAGAGGGAGTCAAGCTATTCTCCAAAGTGCCTGAAGGCAGGACAAGAAGCAATAGATGGAAACTAATCAAGGAGAGAAGCAACCTAGAACTAAGGACAACCTTCCTGACAGTTAGAACAATTAACCAGTGGAACAGTCTGCCTCCAGAAGCGGTGAATGCGCCAACACTCGAGGTTTTTAAGAAGAGGCTGGACAACCATTTGTCTGAAATGGTATAGGGTTTCCTGCCTGAGCAGGGGGTTGGACTAGATGACCTCCAAGGTCCCTTCCAACTTTACTACTACTTCTACTACTACTAGTAGTACTACTACTAGTAGTACTACTACAGATATAGTCTCCCCTTCTTCACATCTGGATCAATATGTTTGCTATACTTCCACCCTCCTGAAACTAAAGGGGTGAACTCTAGAAAACATGCCTATTTGAGCTACTTTACCCTACTTTGGACACACTATGCAAAGACCAAGCTCTCTGGAGAAACCCCTAAGATGATGATGGAAAGATGATGGAAGGAAGATGATGAAAAGAGAACAGGTCCACCAGCCCAGCAGCAAGGTAGATGGCTCGAGTTACAGTAATAACGAACCCATGGTTGGGAGACCTGAAAGAGGAGGTGAGGGACAGATGGTCTTGGAGAAAATCTATCCATGAGGTCACTAAGAGTTGACACTGACCTCATGGCACATAATCAACCACCATCTTAAATCATCTGCCCCTTCAGGTAAGAATGACTCCTTCTCTATTCAGGAGAGAACTCAATTCTGTTTGGCTTTTGGATCATCATCATCATCAAGTTGGAAGGGACCTTGGAGGTCATCTAGTCCAACCCCCTGCTCAGGCAGGAAACCCTATACCAGGGATCTTCAAACTTGGCTCTTTTATGACTTGTGAACTTCAACTCCCAGAATTCCTCAGCCAGGCACGCTGAAGTGAAGTCCACAAGTCATAAAAGGGCCAAGTTTGAAGACCCCTGCCCTACACCATTTCAGACAAATGGCTGTCCAGTCTCTTCTTAAAAACTTCCAGTGTTGGAGCATTCACCGCTTCTGGAGGTAGGTGGTTCCACAGGTTAATTGTTCTCACTGTCAGGAAGTTTCTCCTTAGTTCTAGGTTGTTTCTCTCCTTGATCAGTTTCCATCCATGGATCTTAATTTACTGGAGACAGCTGTTGCTATATTTTTATTGCTTGGGTTTCAGTATTTATTGCAATTGAACATGTTAAAAGTTTTAGTTAGCTTTAACTGGTGTCATAATGGCTTTGGAAGCATGGGAACAATATAAATTAATAACATAAATAAATAAATGCCCGATCACTTTTAGCTGCCTTTTTCCGTACCTTTATTTCTCCTGGATTGTTTTGTAATATAGAGCAATAAAATGTGCACAAAACATTCCGAAAAAGAGGAACACTACACTAGAAATAATGGTACTTTTTATTCTTTTCCAGGTCTTTCAGAAGTGAGTTAATGTTTTAAATGACCTTTCTCCTGCAATGAAAATCTAACTTCCCTTGATCTCTTTCCATCCAATCAGCAAACATTCATACTTTGGAATATTTATTCCAATCTTCCATCTGCATTAATTCATACTAAATCCATTTGGGGAGATTTAAAAGAATTCTTTTGACGCTCTCTACCCTTGAAAGTTCTATCATCTGAATTAAAATGAAGAATGGACTGAAGGAAGAAGAACGCTTAATTCTCTTTAGAGAAATAAAAAATCTTTAGCTACAATTGTCTCGGTCTGAACGATTACATTTGCATGTTTCTAGACATTGTTGATTTGATTTAGCAGAGATAATTTTCAGATCACTGAGAAATTGCTTATTCCCAAAATGCAGTTATCTCAGAATCAAAATTAACTGGCTCCTGGCCTGCCACAAAGCAGTTACAGAATTGCAATTAAAAACAAGCAGAAAAATCAAATGTTCCTTTTCATTTGCTCCTTCCTAATCTGTTAGTCGCTGTTTTAATTAAAGCAATTGTCCTCAACACACTTTAGATACAGATTGCTTAACTCTTGTATAGATGGAAAATACCAATATTCAATTTATACTGGGTAAGGGTACTAAATCCAAGCTGAGTCTGTTGGGCAAGCAGCAAAGGAGCAAGTAAATGAAACTTATAAAGATAAAGGCCACCCTTGGAATACTGCATCCAGTTTTGGTCATCATGATGTAAAAAAGATGTTGAGACTCTAGAAAGAGTACAGAGAAGAGCAACAAAGATGATCAGGAGACTGGAGGCTAAAACATATAAGGAACGGTTGCTGGAATTCGTTATGTCTAGTTTAACGAAGAGAAGGACAAGGGGGGGGACATGATAGCAGTGATCCAATATCTCAGGGGCTGCCACAAAGAAGAGGGAGTCAAGCTATTCTCCAAAGTGCCTGAAGGCAGGACAAGAAGCAACGGATGGGAACTCATCAAGGAGAGAAGCAACCTAGAACTAAGGAGAAACTTCCTGACAGTGAGAACAATTATCAGTGGAACAACCTGCCTCCAGAAGTGGTGAATGCTCCAACACTGGAGATTTTTAAGAAGAGACTGGACAGCCATCTGTCCGAAATGGTATAGGGTTTCCTGCCTGAGCAGAGGGTTGGACTAGATGACCTCCAAGGTCCCTTCCAACTTTACTACTACTACTACTACTACTACTACTACTACTACTACTACTACTACTACTACTATTATTATTATTAACATATGCTTTTTTTAAGGATAATTAAATAAAATCCAACCTTTAGCCGGTGAGAATTGCTGAGGCATATGAGGATCGGAAGAAAGCTCCAATGGAAATTGTAGCTGTTCTTCATTGTCTGTGGAAGCTTGAAATAATAAAGTGGTAGATAAATATTGGTTTTTCCATTAAAATGCAGATGTCCTGAAATCACGGCATCCACAATGGCAAAGAATTAATGTGTACATTCTCAAATGTTTTTTTTTTTTTTTTTTACCTCTTTGTGGGTTTTTTTCTACAGCTTTAGCTGTTTGCAAAGCCTGGTATTTGTCAAAAGTTATTGCAACAGCCGTAACGGTGACCTGTAATTACAAATATTTGACCGTCAGTTGTTTCATTTATTTATATATTCCATGTCCATTTTAACTTAAAAATATACATGCGCAGACACCAACACACACACACACATGGGATATATGTACATATACACATGCACACACATGCAACATTTTTGCATACGTGAACTATATCCCACGCAGCATCACAATTTTACAATGAAAAGTTAACATTCTCAATGTTGTCTATGAAGAGTCTCAATCATCCAGGTCATGGCTGACATAAAGGTGCTTTTTCCAAAAGGCAACTTAAACGTTTTCAAAAGGAAATCAAAGCCAAAAAAGTTCAGCTGCCTTTTGGAAAAAGCACCTCTGGGACATTCATACTCTTGTCTTGGATAATTTCTTCAGATTTAAATCAGAAATCACTATGAGGCTAGGTAGGTTTCCCCGATACAGATCCAAGTTGACCAATGTTACTTTCAAACAGTCCTGTCCTGATTCAGGAGAATGTAAACACTACCGAATGCAAAGAGAGATAAGAACTGGCTGACCTGAATTAATTCATCTTCTGGAAGAGCAACAGTAAAATTGACGTGGCACAGGCAACACGGGATCATCGAACGGAGCTTAAAATAAAGGCTCTGTGAAATATAAGAAATGACTTTGAGGCCACTGGCAACATTTACAAATTTAAGAAGCATCTTCAGCGTAGAAGCAAGATGACTCTCGCTCGGAAAATTCTATTCAATCAACGGGCATCGGGATGACTTGGTCAGTCATAGACTAGTGAGAATGGCAAGTTAGCAAAGTTAGAAGCTCCAGACTGTATCCTGTACACATTGTTTTGCTGTTTTCTTTGAAGTTTCTAAATGCGTGGTTAGCTACCCAGAATGATGAGAATGAGATGGATGACTACAGAGCAAATGCATAAAAAAAACAAATACAAACCCATTTCTTTGAACCTTCAGATTTCTGCTCAATAAAGCCTTTTACAAAAAAAAAAGATAAATGGAAGTAGCTAAAATTGGTGTCTTGGATCTAAAATGCAATTTTGCTCATGTGTAAAATATGTGTGTGTGTGTGTGTGTGTGTGTGTGTGTGTGTATAGTTATGTATATGCATGTATATATGCGTGTGTATGTGTATTTGTATGTATGTGTACATACTGTGTGTATATATATATATACACACACATACACTCACACGCACACACACACATGTGTGTATTTTACGTGGGAGAAAACCCGAATAACCAAAGACCTACATACAAACACCTGCAAAAACCTCAGAAAACATACATACATACATACATACATACATACATACATAAAATAATGGTAAAAATAAAAGAGTAATTCCTGGGTGTATGCATAATAGGAAATAAAACATGAGCACCAGGAAAAGTTAAAACATTAAAAATTTTATAAAACGTTAAAAGTTTAAATATAAAACATTTAAAAGTTTTTAAAAAGCACTCCCACTGATTCATTTGCACCGTGATGATGTTGGCAGGAGCCAACGAAAGCTAGGTCTGCTTTTTAAAAACTTTTAAATGTTTTATATTTAAACTTTTAACGTTTTATAAAACTTTTAATGTTTTAACTTTTCCTGGTGCTCACGTTTTATTTCCTAATACACACACACACACACACACACACACACACACACACACACGTATACACAGACACACATATCTTTTGAGAGGGCATCAGAATTTTTTTTTTAAATGTGCCAGTGCATTCACAGAAAAAATTGTCTGTCTGTCTGTCTGTCTGTCTCTCTCTCTCTCTCTCTCATCTATCTGTGTGTGGATCAATATAAAAATGCAAATGGGTAGTTGAGTAGTTGCAAGTACGAAGGATAATTTGACGATACCTGTATGGTTACCACATTGTTCACCGCCAGTGTTTATACCAACGCTCAACACACTATGAAAAGTGGAAAATATTGCTTTCATTTCCTTATAACCCGCTCCTAAAGTGCTTTTTTAAAAAAACTGCTCCGAACACATGAACCCAGATTTGTTATACGTAGTTGATCTGTTGAACATATATAGATCTTTCGTAATACGCACCCTAAACAGAGAGGTTAGAGCAGGCATGTCAAACTCGCGACGTCACGTGACGTCACGCAACATATTGGGCCGGTTTTGCCATTGCCGGCAATGGGGTGGGCACGGCTTCCACATGACATGTCCGGCCCACGGGCCAGCAGTTTGACACCCCTGGGTTAGAGAGAAAATGCTGTCCCCATGAAAAAAATGACCCAACTGATGACATTGATTATGCAGCTGGAAAAATTCACAGCTAAGCAAATGGAACTTGAATATTTATGCAAATGAACAGTCCCTAGTATCTGCTTGAGAAGTAGGACACCTACTTGTTTTTTATACAGCTGTACAATAACTAATTTCATAAAGGAAATCCACATGATTTTAAAGAAAATAAAGATCACTGACATGTATTATTTTATCATATCCAGAGCCATTTCAGATAGCAAATCTGGTAAACCAAATCTTATTTGATTTTCAATCAGAGCACTAATCAGTACTATGAACACTGTGTCTGTTGAATACGTTCTTTTGATTTGGATTTATTTCAGATTGGAAAGTAATTTACAAATGTTCTGTTGTTGTTTTTTAGGGATGTAAACTGGAAGAAACTATCCAGTACAATGCAATGTTTTAGAATAGATTTTCACTTGATATGTTAGTCCTAAAATTTTGGTTTTCCCAAGATTCTTGAAAAATGCTATTCCACAGAGTCTATGTGATACACAAAAGTTAGGATGGGTGACTGTAATATAGTTTGGATTCTACAGTTCTATAATTCTGTGGTTTTAATTTTTTACCATGGATATTTTTTATGTTTTGGTTTTATTTTGGTCACTGATCAAAAAAAAAAAACAACCCAAAAAACCCAAACAAAAGAATCACAATTGATTAGAATAAAGCTAGCTATAAAATCATATAGCAGTATGAGTAAAATTGTAAGATAAAGAATTTGCAGCGTACAAATTACTGTGAATAGCCACAAGTCGTGCAGCATGTAAAGGATTGCCAAAAATAGTAAATCTAATAAGTATGTGGCCATTGTCCATGGATAAACTGCAAAGGTTAGCTCATGATTTTTGGGAAGATGGGAAGATAATGCAGTAGTAATAAAAAAAATCATTTGGTTATTATTTTACACACGATATTTGATGTCATCTATGTAACAGTAATTTATTTAACAGCCATCTGTTTAACAGTTATTTATAACTTACACCAGAAAAGCAAGCAAACACACCTAAAGCAAAGCACTGATTAAACACATAGTTCAAATAACTAGATTAATTCTCTTACTTTTAGTAGATTCTCACAGAGGTCATTAAAGGTCTTGTTGAGAGTTTGGTTTGTGAGGGTAACATTGCTAAGTCTGGAGACTCTTACAGACGTAAACATCTAAAGCAGGAAAACAAGATCATGAATTGCCATCCGTAAGTATAAATAAGAGTCTTTATTACTGGCTGGATTACAACTGAGATTCAAAGAGGTATGAGACAAAAGAAAAATAAAATATTAATAAAATAATATTCTAGGATCATTTAATGCCAACTAGATGAGATGGGATACATCTCATGCTAATGATAACAATCCTATGCAGAATGGAATGAATAAATTTTGCCAAATTAAATGAAAATAAATGAAGTGTTATAGATTTACATTCACATAAGACAGTGGTTCTCAACCTGTGGGTCGGGACCCCATTTGGGGTCGAATGACCATTTCACGGGGATTGCCAAACAAGGCTGTCCGCCATTTTTTCCCCCTTTTCTTTGGCCACGCCCCTGGCACCCGGTGATGTATAAGTGTTTGGGGGTCACCACAACATGGGGAACTGTATTATGAGGTCGCAGCATTAGAAAGGTTGAGAACCACTGATATAAGAGAAGACAGAGCTGGGAGCATAATCTCTGGATCAAATGTTAAGATTGGACATTTATTATAACAAAGCCTTATTGCAAGCTTTATGTGTGCGATAGTACTCTATACAAGTAGTTCTTGACTAATGACCACAATTAAGCCCCAAATTTTTGTTGCTAAGAGAGACATTTGTTAAGGCAGTTTTTGTCCCATTTTACGACTTTTCTTGTCACAGTTAAGTGAATCACTGAAGTTATTAAATTAGTAACACGGTTGTTAAGTGAATCTGGCTTCCCCATAGAGTTGGCTTGTCAGAAGGTTGCAAAAGGGGATCACGAGACCCCAGGATGATGCGACCGTCATAGATACGGGTCAGTTGCCAAACATCCAAATTTTGATCATGTGACCATAGGGATGCTGCGACGGTCGTAAGTGCGAAAACCAATTATAAATCACTTTTTTCAGTGCTGTTGTAACTTTGAACAGTCCCTAAAGGAACAGTTGTAAGTCAAGGACTACCTATATCCTGTTACAAGTTCCTTTACCAGCTGTGGTTATGGAACTGGCACACAGAGAGAAAGCATTCTTAATTGTAGGGCCTCATTTGAGAGTATCTTATCAGAGAAACCTGACTAATAATTTATGTGAAAAAACCCCAACATTTCTGATCATGCCGAAAACCCAAATCTAAACGAATGAATATGAAGTGAAAGAAAAGCAGTTTTGCATCCTTTATTTATTACTCTGAAAATTGATCTATGCATATTAATACTCTTTTACCTGTATATCAGAAGTCCAGTTGTTTATTCCGGGCATAATTTCTATGTTGCAGCTATAAAAGCCTGACAAAGAACAAATTCGGTTTTTTTAGTATTAAAAAAAAGAAGACATAATGGCGTTCTTTCATTTGCTCAGGTTTTCAGCATAGCTGATTTACGAAGCCACTAGGCTTTCTATTTGCATCGTAGTTTTTTGAGAAAGGTGCTGTCAATGCTGCGAACATCGGATGTTTTTGCACTGACAACAGAGGGAAATGTAGCCCTCTTTTACCTTTTGCTTTTTAGAGTTAGATGATGCTGGGAGGGGGGATGTGGACGAGAGTCCAGCTAGACCAGGGGTAGGCAACCTTGGCTCTTTTATGACTCATGGACTTCAACTCTCAGGAATTCTGGGAGTTGAAGTCCATGAGTCATAAAAGAGCCGAGGTTGCCTACCCCTGAGCTAGACATAACAACACTAGACCTAGCGTGAGAAACAAGGGTATTGTAACCAGAGTTGATAAGGAATTGGCGGGTTGGAGAACTGGATAGGAGGCCCGGGCTTCAAGCTAATTGGGGAATGCGATTTATGACTGTTAATTGAAGGAGGGAATTGTGCTTTGATACTATGTGCTCAGGGGAGGGGAATTCAGATTATGCAGTGCCGATGTTATGCTACTCAAAGTAAAGATTCTTTAAGGTAAAACCATGCCTCGAAGTTCTTTTGAAGAACTTCATCTGTCGGAACCATGACAGATGCAATCTAGTAATATTCTAAAGAAAGTATATATCTATATATACTTAGGAATGAATGAATCAGTTCAATTTAGTTTGAATGTAACTTATATTCTAGTACACCGAGACATCAAAAGTGTTTATTAAATGCACAAATCTACAATAAAGTATGTGACATTCATTACATACAAGCAAAGAGCCATCCATGATTTTGTGCCTCTTGAGCTTGCAAATTATGTAGCTTTTCCAGAGATCTAACAAGAAATTGACATTTTTTATAAGATCAAATCCAAGAAACCTAAAAGTATGACCTCTTCTAATAGAAAAATACTACATACTGTGGAAAGAGTATTGGCTATTGTCAAACCTTTGGGAGTATTTTATAACATTATCAGAATTAAAAAACAAAAAATCAACTGTACCTGAGGGTGGAGGAATATCGGTCAACAAAGAGTGAACGTCTTCCATTGCATCCGTATCATCAATCTGAGGGGAAAAAAAAATTAACTACATATAATAATTTGATCTCTGAAAAGTTCTTTATCAAAAGATATTCTGTGTGGAAAGCATACTTAATACACATACTGTATTACTTGAGGAGTCTAACCCATATATCCAGAGTTTTAAAATTAAACACTTGGGGACTTGTTAACATATTTAAACATTTTAGTATGTTAAAATTAAATCTTCAGTACTGGCAAATTATTTTTCATTTATTTTTAAAACCTTTTTCAAACATAAATATTGTCAGATGCAATATCAGGAATGACACCATGAGCCTCTCAGAGATGTTACTTAATTGCTTCTCACCTATTTACAAGAATCTCACCAGACTAACTTCACTGTCTTTCAAACAACCAGACAGGGGCGCCAAGGGTTTCAGAAATGGTCAAATCTCCGTTGCTTCCTTCCCATAGGGTCATAGGGTTGGAAGGACCTGCAGGGATTTCCAAGCTAGCCAACCTATGAATTCACCCCTACCCTAGTGGCAGATTCCTCCACACATGCCACTTATTTTCAAAAATGCGAAGTGGCTTACAGTAACTATTTTTTTATTAAATGCCAGTAGATAGGACAACCATATACCTGCAACTCCCAAAGTGGCAGACTGGAGCATTTAGCATTTTGGTTGAATAAATCTATTGTAGATTATAATAATAGTAGTAGTAGTAGTAGTAGTAGTAGTAGTAGTAGTAGTAGTAAAGTTGGAAGGGACCTTGGAGGTCATCTAGTCCAATCCCCTGCTCAGGCAGGAAACCCTATACCATTTTGGACAAATGGCTGTCCAGTCTCTTCTTAAAAACTTCCAGTGTTGGACTATTAGTTAATAGTTGGATTGCCTAGAACTCAGCATGCTGAGTATAGAATTTTGGATTCCTGTACTTGTTTTCATCTCTCTCTCCCTCTCTCTCTCTTCTATCCCTGTCTTCTCTCTTCTTTTTCTTTCTCTTCTCCCTTTCTCTTCTTTTTCTCCCTTTCTATTCTTTTTCTCTTCTCTCTCCCTTCTCTCCCTCTCTTCTCTTTCCTCTTTCTAGCCATCTTGTCTTTTCTTTCTTTCTCTTCCCCCTCTTTCTCTTCTGTCTCACAGTCACACACACGAATTCAGACATGCTATCTCTACCACGCAAGGATATTTTCTTAACTAGGAATGACATGGTTCTGTAACCGACAAATGACAGAAGTTTGTTCATTCTTTAGAAGTCAGGCAGAAGATGAACTTTCCCGAAGGAGAGCATACCTCCAACACAAAGGCGTCTTTCTTGCCATGAGAGAGATCCAATTCTGCAATGTCCTCAGAGCTTTCAGACTGAGATCTTAGCAACCTGGTCCGGTGTTTCGGTTCTGGAATGGGAGAAGCTATAATTTCTTCAGAGGTCTCCTACGCAGAACAATAGGGCGTTATGTAGGCCTCTCACACTGAGTAAGTCTCACAAAAGAGCTTTGAACATTTCTGTTTTCTTCCAACGTGAATAAAAAAAAGGAATGAAGTCTCTTAGCTGTTTCTGTCCTGACCAAAGTGAGTAACTCCACCCTCCCTTTATTCCTGAACCTGTTTAGCTTTTGCAACCACTTTCTCTCTCTGTCAATAACAACAACAACAATAATAATAATAAAGTTGGAAGGGACCTTGGAGGTCATCTAGTCCAACCCCCTGCTCAGGCAGGAAACCCTATACCATTTCGGACAAATGGCTGTCCAGTCTCTTCTTAAAAACTTCTAGTGTTGGAGCATTCACAGCTTCTGGAGGCAGGTTGTTCCACTGGTTAATTCAGTGGTTCTCAACCTTTCTAATGCCGCGACCCCATAATACAGTTCCCCATGTTGTGGTGACCCCCAACCACTTATACATCACCGGGTGCCAGGGGCGTGGCCAAAGAAAAGGGGGAAAAATGGCGGACAGCCTTGTTTGGCGACCCCCGTGAAATGGCCGTTCGACCCCAAATGGGGTCCCGACCCACAGGTTGAGAACCGCTGGGTTAATTGTTCTAACTGTCAGGAAGTTTCTTTTTAGTTCTAGGTTGCTTCTCTCCTTGAAGAGTTTCCATCCGTTGCTTCTTGTCCTGCCTTCAGGCGCTTTGGAGAACAGCTTGACTCCCTCTTCTTTGGGGCAGCCCCTGAGATACTGGAACACGGCTATCATGTCCCCCCTCGTCCTTCTCTTCATACCCAATTCCAGCAACCGTTCCTTATATGTTTTAGCCTCCAGTCCCCTAATTATCTTTGTTGCTCTTCTCTGTACTCTTTCTAGAGTCTCAACATTTTTTTTACATTGTGGTGACCAAAACTGGATGCAGCATTCCAAGTGTCGCCTTACCAAGGCATTGTAAAGTGGTATTAACACTTCACGTGATCTTGATTCTATCCCTCTGTTAATGCAGCCTAGCACTGTGTTGGCTTTTTGGGCAGCTGCAGCACACGGCTGGCTCATATTTAAGTGATTGTCCACTAGGACTCCAAGATCCCTCTCACAGTTGCTACTATTGAGCAAGGTACCCCCTATACTATACCTGTGCATTTGGTTTTTCTTGCCTAAATGTAGAACCTTACTTTTTTCACTTAAACGTTAATTTTACATTTTCAAAAGTCAACTACATTTAACACGATTGTATTTCATTCGTAATACAGGTAGTCCTCAACTTACAACAGTTCCTTTAGTGACCGAAGATACCACAGCACTGAAAATTAAGTGACTTATGAGCATCTTTCACACTTATGATCTTTGCAGCATCCCTGCGGTCACGTGATTTACATTCGGATGCTTGACAACTGGTTCATATTTACAATGGTCCCAGTGTCCCGGGATCACGTGATCCCCTTTTGCGACCTTCTGACAAGCAAAGTCAATGGGGAAGCCAGATTCACTTAACAACCGGGTTACTAATTTAACAACTGCAGTCGTTCATTTAACAAATGTTGCAAGAAAGGTCATAAAGTAGGGCAAAACTCACGTAACAAATGTCCCACTTAGCAATATAGATTCTGGGCTCAATTGTGATCGTAAATCAGGGACTTCCTGTAATTAAAGGGATAGATCAGGGGTCTTCAAACTTGGCAACTTTAAGACTTGTGGACTTCAACTCCCAGAATTCCTCAGTCAGCCCTGGCTGGTTGAGGAATTCTGGGAGTTGAAGTCCACAAGTCTTAAAGTTGCCAAGTTTGAAGACCCTTGGGATAGATGTTTCTGCCTCACGAGAAGCATTTGACTTAAGATTGTGACAGTACTTATACAACATTGCTTACCGGAGGGTTAATCTCATACAGCTCTTTATTTCTGGCGATGGTGTCATTGATTTTCTTCTGCACATGAGAGATATGCTGTTCATAAGTGGCATCACTGGGGGTTTTTCCAGCAATCTGAATACCACCAGGAGTAGGTAAAGCAGCCAGATAAACCCCTGTAGCAGACTTTAAAAAAAGTATAACAGTAAGAAAATAGGGCATTGTGGGAACAGAGTCTAAGTATTACACTAGACATGTCAAACACAAGGCCCGGGGGACAGATGTGGCCCACAAAGTGGTTTCATGTGGTCGGCAAAGCCATCCTGGAAACAGTGAGGGAACAGCCCCCACTGCCTTGGCCCTGGCCCAGGCCGGCCGGGAGCCAATGTACAATTTTGTGGTGGCCATCTATGTTGAAATGCATTCAGTCTTAGCTCCACAAGGCCGTCTGGAAACAGCGAGGAACCAGCCCCTGCCATGTCGGCCCCATCCCCTGGGTGCATGCTGGGGAGGTGTCACCCTTTGTGAGGAATGAAGAAATGCACCATCGCCTGGAAGTGGCCAGCAAATGGCCCTCGCCTACTTCACATATCCGGCTTGATGGGCTCTGCCCTGGTCCCACCCCTTTCTGCCAGAGACCCTCAGATCTGTCCCACTCCTGCCCAGGCCCCCACAGGCACCCTTGATACAAATGATGTAGAGCTGGCCACACCCACCCAGTAGGCCACACCCACTCCATCCAAGCCCACCCAGTAGGCCGCCCCCGCCCCCCCAAGGGCAACCGCAATGCTGATGCGGCCCTCAATGAAATTGAGTTTGACACCCCTGTATTACACTTCCTCCTATAGGTATAAAAATGTAAGGGTTTAAAACAGTGGTTCTCAACCTTTTTAATGCCACGACCCCAACCGGTTGTAAGTCGAGGACTAAACTGGTTGTAAGTCGATGACTAAACCGGTCGTAAGTCGAGGACTACCCAACTGGTCGTAAGTCGAGGACTTTCCCTGCCTGGGAGCGACGCGCATGTGTGGTGCCGCCCCCTGCGCCAGCCGAGGCGTAGCTGGCAAGCGGCAGAGACGGAGCAGGCCAACCACCGGCTGGGCCACCAGTTGGCCCAGCCCAAGGGAGGTAAGACACCCGCTGGAAAAGGGAAAAAAAATGGCGGACAGCCTTGCTTGGCGACCCCTGTGAAATGGTCAACCGACCCCAAATGGGGTCGCGACCCATAGGTTGAGAATCGCTGGTTTAAAATGTGCTATTGCAATGGTGGCGAACCTATGGCGCGCATGCCAAAGGCGGCACTCAGAGCCCTCTCTGTGGGCACACGTGCTGTTGCCCCAGCCCTGCCTCCCCCTGCGGCCCCCTCCTCACCAGCAGCCCCCCCTGGAGAGTCACCTCCGGGCACGACCCACAAGGAGCAGCGCAGCCAAGAACATGGCAGCCAGTCAGCAGGGACAAGACTCTGTTTTTGCGCCACAACGCACACAGATGCTGCTGCTGGGTGTGGGTGGAGAGCGTGGCTGCCATGGCGCTACAGGGCAGCCTGGGCAATCTGCGGTGGGCCGTGGAGGTGGTGGGTGGCCCTGCGAGTGGGTGGGGGGTGGAGCAGGGGCAGGTGGCAGAACAGTGGGCGGGCTGGGCAGGCGGGCGGTTTTTGGGCACTCAGTCTCTAAAAGGTTCGCCATCACTGTGCTATTGACTGTATATCTGGATCAGAGTTTCTCAAACTTAGCAACCTGAAGATGTGTGGACTTCAACATATTCAGAAATTTACAAGTAAAAACAAAGCTAGATACATTTTTTTTTCTGTAATGCACATTTAAATTTAAAACTCTGAGATTGAGAAACAGTGATCTAGACCAGGGGTCCCCAAACGGGATTACTTTAAGACCTATGGACTTCAACTCCCAAAATTTCTCAGCCGGCTCCAAACTTGGGAATTTTAAGACTTGTGGACTTCAAGCTCCCAGAATTCCTCAGCCAACTGTGCTGTGCTGGCTGGGGAATTCTGGGAGTTGAAGTCCCAGTTAAAGTTGTCAAGGGTTTGGAGACCCCTGATCTAGATTGCGCAGCCTAAGTATGTGTGGATGGGATTGTGTAAGCAAGTCAGATTTTTCTTCAGAAAATAAACAAGTGGGAAACTGGAGGTCAAAATACAGATTAAAAGAAGAGTTAAGAAGCACTGAGGGATATTTCAGTGTGACAATGCAGCTTTTTCAAAGAGTTATAAACCTGGATAGGCAAAAAATCTTGGGAACTGCAGCTCAAGGATTATCTTTGTGTATTTTACGTCAAACACAAAAGACACCGTTAGATGCTGCAGATATAACCCCACAACAATCAGTAGGATAACATCTGACCTCTAAAGAGATCTTCATTAGTAGCCTTTATTGTGGCAGAAACCTTTAAAGTGGACTGAAACACCGGAAACTGGATTCCAGCTGCTGTTCATTAACTTTAGAAAAGGTACTATTATAGGATTTTCCATTTTGAAATCTTCATGGTTTATTTTAAAAAAAGCCTAAGACCTGTTTCTTTCTTACAACTTTGTTTAAACGACTAAACCAACAAATCTTGACATTCTGGGTTTTTAAGACATGTAAAACCTTCCTTGTTGTTGTTGTTGTTAATTGCGAAGTCGTGTCCGACCCATCGCGACCCCATGGACAACGTTCCTCCAGGCCTTCCTGTCCTCTACCATCTTCTGGAGTCCATTTAAGTTCACACCTACTGCTTCAGTGACTCCTTCCAGCCATCTCATTCTCTGTCGTCCCCTTTTTCTATTGCCCTCAATCTTTCCCAGCATTAGGCTCTTCTCCAGTGAGTCCTTCCTTCTTATTAGGTGGCCAAAGTATTTGAATTTCAACTTCAGGATCTGGCCTTCTAAAGAGCAGTCGGGGTTGATCTCTTCTAGGACTGACCGGTTTGAACGCCTTGCAGTCCAAGTGACTCGCAGGAGTCTTCTCCAGCACCATAGTTCAAAGGCCTCAATTCTTTGGCGCTCAGCCTTTCTTATGGTCCAACGTTCACAGCCATACATTGCAACTGGGAAAACCATGGCCTGGACTATACGCACTTTTGTTGGCAGGGTGATGTCTCTGCTTTTTAGTGTGCTGTCTAGATTTGCCATAGCTTTCTTCCCCAGGAGCAAGCGCCTTTTAATTTCTTGGCTGCAGTCCCCATCTGAGGTGATCTTGGAGCCCAGAAAAATAAAATCTGTCACTACCTCCATTTCTTCCCCTTCTATTTGCCGGGAATTGAGAGGGCCAGATGTCATGATTTTGGTTTTCTTAATGTTGAGTTTCAAGCAAACTTTTGCACTCTCCTTCTTCACCCGCATCAAGAGGCTCTTTAGTTCCTCTTCACTTTCTGCCATTAGAGTGGTATCATCTGCCTATCTTAGGTTGTTGATATTTCTCCTGGCAATCTTAATTCCAACTTTTGATTCATCTAGCCCTGCCTTTCTCATGATGTGCTCTGCATATAAGTTAAATAGGCAGGGCGACAGAATACAGCCTTGCCGGACTCCTTTCCCAATTTTGAACCAACAGTGGTTCCGTTTCCAGTTCTCACTGTTGCTTCTTGACCTGCATATAGGTTTCTCAAGAGACAAATAAGATGGTCTGGTATTCCCATCTCTTTAAAAACTTGCCACAATTTGTTGTGATCCACACAATCAAAGGCTTTTGCATAGTCAATGAAGCAGAAGTAGATGTTTTTCTGGAACTCCCTAGCTTTCTCCATGATCCAGCGTATGTTGGCAATTTGATCTCTAGTTCCTCTGCCTCTTCGAAATCCTGCCTGTACTTCTGATAGTTCTCGATCCACATACTGCTGGAGTCTAGCTTGTAGGATTTTAAGCATAACTTTACTAGCATGTGAAATGAGTGCAATGGTGTGATAGTTTGAACATTCTTTGGTATTGCCTTTCTTTGGAATTGGAATGTAAACTGATCTTTTCCAATCCTGTGGCCACTGTTGAGTTTTCCAAATTTGCTGGCAAATTGAGTGTAGCACTTTTACTGCATCGTCTTTTAAGATTTTGAATAGCTCAGCTGGAATACTGTCACCTCCATTAGCTTTGTTGTTGCTCAGATTTTCTAAGGCTCATTTCACTTCACATTCTAGGATGTCTGGTTCGAGGTCAGTGACCATCTCATTGTGGTTATCTGGGACGCTAAGCTCATTCTTGTATAGTTCTTCTGTGTAGTTTTGCCATCTCTTCTTAATCTCTTCTGCCTCTGTTAGGTCCCTGCCATTTTGGTCCTTCCTAATTTTATTCAATGCTTAAGTATTTTTCCGGGATGCAAAACTGGAGGAATCATTGAGTTGATCTACTAGTTTGTTTATTTTAAAAATTTGTCCCAGAATTTTAGATGGCTAACCATGAGCTCAAATTGTAGCAATTTTTTTTTAAATTATGAATAAAAAAAATGCATGTATCTGATCACCTAGAACTAGTGCACAAATAAAAAAATATATATGAAAATACCACAAAGTAAATTACATTGAGTTAAAGCAGTGGATACAAAAGCATATACATAAAGGGGAAAAAAAATAGTGTTTCCACAGAAAAGACCTGGGTGAATTTAAGATGACAAATAGGTACTTTTAAAAAAAATGTAATAGTAGATGCTTCTGAAAAGTAGTGAGAACATTCCTGAAAGTAGGTGCTTTCCGCTGGGAAAAACCCCTTGTGTGAGTATCCTGGAGGGGACCTGGTCAAGGCAAAGGGGGGGGGGGAAATCACCAGTATTCCTAGCCTGAAGATACCTTGACCCATCTATGACAGGGGTCTTCAAACATGGCCCTTTTATGACTTGTGCACTTCAACTCCCAGAATTCCTCAGCCAGCCTCCATTTTGTTAGATTTAAGACAGGGGTCTTCAAACATGGCCCTTTTATGACGGGTAGACTTCAACTCCCAGAATTCCTCAGCCAGGCACGCTGGCTGAGGAATTCTGGGAGTTGAAGTCCACCCGTCATAAAAGCGCCAAGTTTGAAGACCCCTGCGCTAGAGGATTGGAAAACAATCAAAATGTTTAAAACACAAATGGAAAACTTACTGCCAGACCCATCAACATCGTTTCTCCCACCGTGATCTGTATTCGTAGGCCAAAGAGGGCGTTCATCCCTCTCAGCTTCAGCTTATTCATCAACTGAGTGTGTACTTCGTACTCCATAAATGGCAGCAGATTACTGATGCAGGTTGCGTTGGCTTCGGCTTGGGCTTTCTTTTTCAGCCGGCATAGCCTGTTGGGGAGTGAACCATAAATTTCAAGGCACGTGGCCTTAAGGAATCATAGTCATAGGGCTAGATGGTACCTTGGAGGTCTTCTAGTCCAACCCCATGCCCAAGGTAGGAATCCTTATACTATCCTGGTTGTTCAGTCTTTTCTTGAAGACCTCCAGTGATGGAGCATCCACAACTGCAGGAGGCAAGCTGTTCCATTGGTTAATTGGGCAAGACATTCCACTGATGGTTCTCACTGTCAGAAAATTTCTGATTTCTAGGCTGGATCTCTCCTTGATAAGTTTCCATCAATTGCTTCTTGCTCTGCCCTGAAATGCTTGGGAGAATAAGTTGACCACCTCTTCTCTGGGGTAGCTCCTCAAATATTGGAATATTAGGCTATTCACTGTCAGAAAATTCCTCCTAAGTTTCAGGTAAGATCTCCCTCTGATGAACTTCCACCCACTGTTTCTTGTCCTGCCCTCAGGTGCTTTGGAGAATAAATTGACCTTCTTCCCTGTGACAGACCTTCAAATATTGGAAGGCTGCGATCCTGTCTCCCCCAAACCTTCTCTTCATTAGACTAAATACACCTCATTGCCTTAGCTATTAATTGTATGATTTAGCCTCCAGACCCCTTATTATCGTTGTTTCTCTTCACGGCACTTTCTAAAGCAGGGGTCTTCAAACTTGGCCCTTTTATGACTTGTGGACTTCAATTCCCAGAATTCCTCAGCCAGGCACACTGGCTGAGGAATTCTGGGAGTTGAAGTCCACAGGTCATAAAAAGGCCACGTTTGAAGACCCCTGGTCTAGTGGTTAAGGCACCAGGCTAGAAACAGGGTGATTGTGAATTCTAGTCCTTCCTTAACCATGAAAGCTGGCTGGCTGACTTTGGACCAATCACCAGGAGACTGTGAGTTCTAGTCCCACCTTAGGCATGAAAGCCGGCTGGGTGATCTTGGGCCAATCCCAGGACTCTGAATTCTAATCCCGCCTTAGGCATGAAAGCCAGTTGGGTAACCTTGGGCCAATCACCAGAAGACTGTGAGTTCTAGTCTTGCCTTAGGAATTAAAGCCAGCTGGGCGACCTTGGACCAGTCACACTCTCTCAGCCCAATATACCTCACAGGGTTGTTGTTGTGAGGAAAAAGAGGAGGAAGGTGGCTGTTTGTCACCTGGAGATACTTGTAGAAATAATAAAGGCAGAATATAAGTACTAATATGTCTACTATGAAAATATGCCTCTTCTTCCTGTATTCCTTTCCTGCTGAGTACCTGGCTTGGATGAGGCATCCTTTTCCAAACACCACTGCGTCCACAGGCAAGTCTATCGTCGTGAAAAGCACATCGGGCACTTTCTGCTTCCTGCAGCTGCAGCAGTAAGCGAGGCGGGCCGGGAATGGCATGTTGAGCTCATCGTAGGGGATGTGGCAGAAGCCACAACCGAGAGGTAAGGATTCTTCTAGCCTAGGAGATAACATGGGGAGCAGTCTAAAATTACCATTCAGACACCGACTTTCTAAACAAGGTTGGTCACTTGAAATGGGGGTTCACACACGTTATCAGCCTATATGTGGCTTATACCAGGGGTAGGCAACCTTGGCTCTTTTATGACTCGTGGACTTCAACTCCCAGAATTCCTGAGCCAGCTATGCTGAGGGGAAAGGGAGGTTTCCATGCTGAGCCATGCTGGCTCAGGAATTCTGGGAGTTGAAGTCCACGAGTCATAAAAGAGCCAAGGTTGCCTACCCTTGGTCTAGGAGGCTCACCATTTAGAACAGGACGACTTAGGACAGGGGTAGGCAATCTTGGTCCTTTTATGACTGGTGGACTTCAACTCCCAGAATTCCTGAGCCAGCATGGCTCAGCTTGGAAATCTCTCCCTTTCCCCTCAGCATGGCTGGCTCAGGAATTCTGGGAGTTGGTCCACGAGTCATAAAAGAGCCAAGGCTGCCTACCCCTGCTTCATACAGATATCCCGTACAGGTAGTCCTCGACTTACGACCACTTGTTTGGTGACGGTTCAAAGGGACTGAAAGAAGTGGCCTTTGACTTGGTCCTCACACTTGAAACCGTGATAGCACCAAGATCACATGATCAAAATTTGAGCCATTGGCAATCGGCATGCGGCACTCCAGAGGTCACATGACTGCCATTTGTGACCCTCCAGACAGGTTGTGACAACCCAGTCAATGGGGGAAGCCAGATCGGCTTAACACAGCACGATCCACTTAACAACTGCAGTGATTCGTTGAACAACCGTGACAAAAAAAAAAAGATGATAAAAGTGGGCCTGACTCACTTATCAAGGGCCTTGCCGAGCCACAGAAACTCCAGTCACAACGGTGGTCGTAAATTGAGGACTACGTGTATGTTGCTGGCCAGTCTGCTTTCTTTTATAATGCTTTATGCATTAATCCGCAGACCGTCCTGTCCCCTAAGAGACCAAACAGATAATTAATTTATCTCCCCTTTTTAAACCACACACACATGCAATGGGCAGATTAGTAGAAATCGCATAGCTTTTTGTGAATTTGGTTTCAGTAGTTCTGTAAAACACAACACAACAGAAATACTCATTTCTATTAGATTTAGGGTTCTACGAAGCGGTTATTTGGACAGGAATGGAAAAACGTGTGTCATGAAGGAAAGAACAATTTTAACAAGTCAGAAGGGCAACTACAACTAGGTTTTGTCATAAATTTGGCTAATGAGTGCAAATCAGTGACTAAGTGTCGCTTGCTAGAGAAATCTATTTTTACAGAAACACTTTATCTTATTTAATTATTTATCCACCAGATTTGCAGACTGTTCATCACCGACAACTCTGGGCAGTGTGGGATCCTGGGTGCTTCTCTGAGCTTGGTTGTTTTCTTGCAGACGTTTCACTGCCCAACTAGGTAACGTCATCAGTGCTACAAGGGAGTGGGTTTTTTAAGACTATCTTATCATATTTAATTTCTCTTGATTTGACAACTATATATACTTCCAACCCACTAAGGTTTGCCACAATATATTTAATATGAATAAAAAGCTGAACTGTACATTTTTATGTCCTGTACTAAAACATTTTTATTTTGAAGCTGAATAATCAGATTGCATGTCTGGTTGATTAAGGGTACCCTCACCAACATGTGGATGGCTTAGCTTCCTTTTCAACATACGTCATTGATTGGACCTAGAAGCTATAGAACAGTGGTTCTCAACCTTTTTAATGCCGCGACCCCCAACCGGTTGTAAGTCGAGGACTACTCAACCGGTCGTAAGTCGGGGACTACTCAACTGGTGCAGCACCGTTTGCAGAATGGGACTTTTGGCGGGCTCAGCAGGGCAGAGACAGCCTGGACAATTCCTATTGGCTTTTGAAAGCCAATAGAATTAGACTCTATTCAAGAGAGTCTATTCTATTGGCTTTCAAAAGCCAATAGAATAAAAGGGAGTACCACAGCTAAGGAAAAGGGGGAAAAAATGACGGACTGCATTGTTTGGCGACCCCCGTGAAATGGTCGTTCGACCCCAAATGGGGTCCCGACCCACAGGTTGAGAACCACTGCTATAGAATGTTTTTATTAGAATCAAAAAGTAGGGGGTCAGTGGTTTTTCTCCACCTTTTTGTTGGTCAAGACATGTCTCTGTGCAACAATGATCTTTCTTAGCCCCCTCTGTAATCTCATACCCTTCTGAAGGATCTCCCAGCCATCTGGAACAGACGGTGGAGAAATCAACCTGAGAACAGAGGAACTGATAATAATTGACTTTTTCTTTGATCTGTTGAGCACATCTTCCACTGAATTGCTGAAAAGATCGCATCAGAGAAGCGGACAAGATGGGATACAACTCAATGTAACAAACTATGAATGCAAAAGAGACGGATAACATCAGCCCCTTTAGTCTGCCATCTTCCTGTAATCTTCTCTAAACAAAAGTAATGTATACTGTAGGTATTTTGAACTCAAACGTGAGCTTTTAGTATTGCATTAAGGTAAGAGTCTTTCGTGGACCTGAAGGGCAGTCTGATTACATAACAAGTGTCTAAAGGCGCAAGTGGATTAAAAGACAACATGATATAATGCCGCTGACCCTTTAGCTACCAAGTAAATCAGGATGGAGCTTATTTAAATTAAGCTGACTTCATTAACTCTTGTAAATACAAGAATAGAGAAGCAAATAATTGAAAATGACAGAAGCTCCGCTCATCCATACTGGAGGCAGAGGGAATATGAAGTTTTGAAGAGGAAGCAAAAAGGACAACACCTCAAGTTGTCCATGCCTAACTTTTCTTCAAAATAAATAAATAAGTAATCTGCCTTCCGGGGGGAATCTCATCACAATGAACACGATGGTCATCTCACAAAAGAATGACTCGGCAATCTCAGAGCTAGTTAAAAAAAAAATCAGCATTTTTTTTTTAGCATTTAATACATTTCAGTAGGGGTTTTTTTTTTCCTGAAGAGCTCAACTTGATTATTTTCTATGGAAAAATTATATTTGCTGAAACCTTGATCTGACAGACACATGGGAAGGAGAGGTCTGTTATGCTCAAAGGCCTGTCAAATCGCATAGGATGTCCTTTGTGGCAATTTTAGTGATTTGTGTATTGATGCCATGAGAGAAATGATGTCAGCTTGATGCCCTAATGTAAATTGTCATAGCTGACCCGAGCGTAATGTAAATTCAGCTCCCTCATCCAGACCTGTACAAGATGTTCGGGAGTTTCGTTGAGATAGAAAACTGGACCCCGAAATGGGGATCCTTCAATTGAAGTTTCACTGTAACTTGAAAAGGAGAGGCCAATCTCTATGGTCGGCTGGAGAATTCTGGGAACTGAAGTCCACGTGTCTTAAAGTTGCCAAAGTTGGGAAACCCTGCTTTAGTGTGCCATAAAATCTTGATAATGGTGTGAAATAAAGAATCACTTGCACACTCAGTGTTAAGAGAGGGACAGTTCAAAACAGGGGAAAGGATTTGCATTCTGCTGTTAGTAGCCAAATGGTTACCTTATTCAGGCTGTTAGAAATTTTAAAGCAGTAAGGCTAGTGACTGGGGCAGTCCCACACGTCTGCAGTTGTTAGTGAAAAATCAGTACAGTAGTCGGCCCCCGCATTCTGTGCTGTACCACTGGTAACCTACCCTAATAGAGAAGAACTATCTTGGTTTTGAGGAAAAAACTCAACCTCTCCCTTCTCTGACCCTATGGAAAAGTAGCCAGGCTGCCATGACAACCTTGGTTCCAAACAGACTTCCATGTTTCCATCCTGGAGGAACCTGGGATTCAGCACAGCGGCTGTGCCCGAGGCAGACAAAATACAGACCTCCTCACTGTGAAAAAAGAAAGAAAGAAAGAAGAGGGAGGGAGGGAGGGAGAAAAAGAAAGAAAGAAAGAAAGAAAGAAAGAAAGAAAGAAAGAAAGAAAGAAAGAAAGAAAGAAAGAAAGAGAAAGAAGAGAGAGAGGGAGGAGAAAGAAAGAAAAAATAGAAAGAAAAAGAGGGAAAGAGAATGAAAAAGGTACGAAGGGAAAGGGAAAAGACAGAAAGGGAAAAAGAAAGAAAGAAGAAAGAAAAAGGAAAAAAGAGAAAGAAAAATAGGGGGAAGAGAGAGAGGGAGAAAGAAAGAAAGAAAGAAAGGAAGAAAGAAAGAAAGAAAGAAAGAAAGAAAGAAAGAAAGAAAGAAAGAAAGAAAGAAAGAAAGATTAGTCATGAGTTCACTCATATGCTTTGTGAAATCTATTCCCACAAATGAAAAAGCCACAACCCAAATCCATGTTGAAAGGGAGCATTTAGAGTGGGGGAGTTTTGAAAAATAAGCTGCCTGCCATACGGTGTTTATTTTGACTGTGGTAAGGACAACCCCTTTTCAGAAGTACAATAGTAAAGGGTCGAGGGACACATTTCACCCCTGTGTGGTATGCCGGATGCTCTGCATCAAAACTAAAACAACAGCCAAGAGGCAGGACTTTTTCCAGGCTAAGAATTTTAGTTGATGGGTGTGGACGCCAGGCCTGCATTCCAAAAGTGGAAGAGCCAGGAAGAATTTTATATTAACCTTTACACATAAATCAAACACAGGTAGTCTCTGGCTTAGGACTACAATCAAGTCTGCCCATGACAGTCCTAGCTGTAACGCATTGTCCTTGGACCCGACTAGATTTTACCACCTTTTTTTGTGGCTATCACAAATGTTGTGATTGCTAAGTGAAGCAATGGTTCACTATGGGACTGTTTTGTCAAAAAAACTAGACGCAAAGGGGGAAAATGCAGCTGCAAACGGCTGTAAAAGCAGGCTGATTGCTGAGCGCCTGAAATGTAGTCACATGACTGGGCTGGAGGGGTAACCGTTGAAAGTTTGAAACTGGGTGGCAATTACCCCTGGGGGGATCCATTGTCATTCTGAACAGTCACTAAATGACTGGTTGTAAATCAAGGACCATCTGTACTTGCTAATGTGATGAATTCCCCATTATGTAGTCCAGGGGTGGGGAACAATGGCCCTTTTATGACTCGTGGACTTCAACTCCCAGAATTCCTGAGCCCGCATGGCTAAGCATGGAAACTTCTCCCTTTCCCCTCAGCATGGCTGGCTGAGGAATTCTGGGAGTTGAAGTCCATGAATCATAAAAGAGCCAAGATTACCTATCTCTGGCCTAGGCCACTTTATGACTCGTGGACTTCAACTCCCAGAATTCCTGAGCCAGCATGGCTCAGCATGGAAACTTCTCCCTTTCCCCTCAGCATGGCTGGCTCAGGAATTCTGGGAGTTGAAGTCCACCAGTCATAAAAGGGCCATCGTTCCCCACCTCTGATGTAGTGGATCATTCCCCATCTCTTTTTTTGTGTGTCCTCAAGTTAGTGTTGTCCTCTATCTTCTGTCTTCACATCCCCAAACGGCATCTCCTCTTGATAGCTTGATCACTGATCAAAAAAGGGTTACAAGGCTACCAGTGGAGACCCCTCACGCCACAGATAATAAAAATGAAGGTTCTGCTGTTCAGAATCAGTTGTCATTTCTTTGTTCACCAAAGCAAACAGCAGCAATACAGAAACAGCATCCTTTCTACACTGTAGTCATGTCCCAGCAGCTAAGTGGCTATATTACTATACGCCCCATCATCCTGAGCCTTCCTGCTTCCTAGTAATTGGCACAACTTTATACAACAGATCTCGGAGCTTCTCTTTTCACCCTTTCCTTCTGCTCCTTGCAGAGATAAAGTGGTTTAATTGTCAGAGCAAAAGAGCCAGCGAGTTACCAAATGCTAGTTGATTCACTGTAGCCCACTACAGCATGACAGCCCAATGCCTTTGCATGGGATTTGATTTCTTGACGAACTTCCGCCCACCAGGCATCCCGTGTTTCCGGGTCATCTGAAAGATACAGAGCACATCCCGTTTACTATTCAGCAGAGATGCAAAATATTCAGCTAAAGCAAAGACGTTAACTAAACACTGGTTAACTTGTTTAAGCTAGTACAAGACCTCAGCAACATCTTGTTTCTTCTTCCAGCCAATTAAGGCAACTCTGACTACTTCGATGGAATGGCGATTTCACAAAGCTAGTCCATTTCTCTTTAATTCTCAGAGAATTCAAGAACTCAAGGATGTGATTTCTATACTTAACACGTTTTGCTCAAAACACCATTACAGGTAATCCTTGACTTACAACCACAACTGAGCCCAAAATTTCCACTGCTAAGCGAGATACTCATTAAGTGAGTTTTCCCTGTTTTATGACCTTTCTTGCCACAGTTGTGAAGTGAATCACCGCAGTTGTGAAATTAGGGGCACGATGGTCAAGTGAATCCAGCTTCCCCATTGATTTTGTTTGTCAGAAGGTTGCAAAAGTGATCACATGACCCCAGGACACTAAATAAGAGTCAGTTGCCATCTGAATTTTGTTCACATGACCATGGGAAAGCTGCAACGGTTGTATGAAAAATGGTCATAAGTCACTTTTTTCAATGCTGTTGTAACCCTCAACAGTCACTTAATGAATGGTTGTAGTCAAGGACTACCTGTATTAAGCTAAACCAGAGGTAGGCAACCTTGGCTCTTTTATGACTCGTGGACTTCAGCTCCCAGAAATCCTGAGCCATACTGGCTCAGGAATTCTGGGAGTTGAAGTCCGTAAGTCATAAAAGAGCCAAGGTTGCCTACCCCTGAGCTAAAACCTTCCAAGACACCAAAGGTATCTCTGACTATGAAAAAAAAAATGACAGCATCTCCAACATTTGCAGTCAGTAAATCTCAATATTAAAGACCTACTGGTAAAAGCAACTTGAGGAGATTAGATTGTAAGAGAAATTAGCTTAAGAGTTTGGATGTTTGAATAACAATTCAACTTTGTCAAGATTAAAAAGCAGAGTGAAATTTAGAAATTTAAAAACTAAACCATATTGCCCACTTGATGGGAAAAAAAGTTTTAAAAACTCTCTGGGCAAACTAACATTCTTGCATGGGCCTAAATAATTAATTGTCCTTGTTTTTGTATTTTTAACTGATTTGACAAATATCAACACCACCCTCACCAAAAGACTTATGAGATATACTGTTTATACTTTTAACCTCACGAGGGAAAAAAAAATACTGAGTTGTTAGGTTAATGCCGAATAGCTCTACCGCTTATTCTTGGAAAATATCTTGTCAATTAAAATACATTTAATGGATACATTAAAAGATATATTCAAAGTATTTTTAAAAACTAATAATATTATAAAAATAACTCAATTGTAAGTTGCCACTTTAAAGGCGAATCGTGTTGCATTAGCTTCGTATTAGAATTTCAAACCTGACCTCTAACATTTTCAAAAACGTAAATGGAAGCACTTTTTCAATATTTGCAAAGATATACCAAGTAGGGGGGTATATTACCTATATATCAGTGATGGCAAACCTTTTAAAGACTAAGTGCCCAAAAACTGGCCCCGCCCCCACTCCGCCCACCCAGCCACTTACTGCCTTCATGGTCCACCGCAGATCGCCCAGGCAGACCAGCAGCACCATGGTAGCCACGCCCTCTGTCCACACCCCACAGCATCATCTGCGTGCGATGGGGCACGAGGGCGGAGTCTTGTCCCCACTGCCCAGCCCCCATGTCCTTGGCTGCGCTGCTCCATGCGGGCCACACTTGGGGGCGAATCTCCTCCAGAGGGGCTGCTGATGAGAAGGGGTGCATGGGGGGAGGCAGGCCTGGGGTGACGGCACGTGTACCCATAGAGAGGGCTCTGAGTGCCACCTCTGGCACGCGTGCCATAGGTTCGCCACCACTGCTATATATGAACTTGCAGTGATATTGGAGGAAACTGATTGTAATTTCCTGAGATTATGGAGATCTACACGACCCAAACCTGTTTTTAAATTATTAAGAAAAATCAGTAGTTTAATAGAGGACTTCCTAGCCTAGAAAAAATAATTTATGCAGCCAAATCTAAATTGCACGATGAAATCTGATTTAGATGGGACTTTGGTGTTTCTCTACTCAAAATACATTTCTAAAGAGAGCACCAGATTGCACAAAATTCCTAAATGAAAATTGTTTCATTCACTCCACAATTACATCATACGCCCAAATTTAGTTTAACCGTCTGGAGAGTAATCTTTTTTTTCTTTTAGAAGAATATTTTTGAAATACAAAGCAGTATCTTATAAGAAACTGGTATTTGAGGGCATATATTTGTGTGTCAAGTCAGAATATACTTAAATGTACTCAGTGTTAATGTGAAAGATTTTTAGAGATTTTAGAAAATGACATGTAGTTTTAACCTACTTCAGATTATTAAAACTATGTTTATTTTATAAAGGACACATCTGACAGAACAAGATAAAAGGTTTTACAGTGCATTTGCTTAATGCTTCAAAGCAAAGTGAGGCAGGTAGCTGACCTGATTCATAACCATTTCTCTCTCTCCAGGTTTAACAAGCTATAACTGATGATTTTAGTCGATAAAATATGGTTTTGATCAATTTTTATCTAACAAACTCCCTGTTATCTTTTGCAATATGATTGTCTTTACTGTTTTAATATTTTTTATGATCATCATCATCAGAACTGGAGATTTTAATATTAGTTTCTGAATTATGTATATACTCAATCATAAATGATAATAATTAGTGTAATTAATGTAATTACATCATAACAGATAAGTGAAATTTGATCCCTGGCATTGCTTATATCCTAAACTGAGGGAATATGCTGTTTACTCAGCAGTGAATCAGATTTTTGGAAGGTTTGATGTTTTGATTTCTTCAGCATTATTTCAACAAATTCACATGTGCATTAATTGAAAATTATGGCATATCAATTTACAACTCAATCATCTTAAATTTAAATTACAATAGTTTACTACAACACCCAGAAGCCCGTATTTTAATGTTTCTTCACTGAATTTGTTTGATTTTTAAATCTGTAAATGATAAAGAATTCATAGGAATGGCTAGTTACTTAATTTTTGAATGCAAGGCTTATATGTGTAATTGTATTACTGCACACAAACCTCTCTGGATGCAGATGATTAGGCGTCTCACTACCAGTTTATACAAGGAAATATAAGAAACTAAATATAACTTACATAATATCTTACCACAGAAAACTGAATTAGAGTAACATGTTTCCATTAAGAATAGTGAGAAAATGGCAAGATCTTGACAAACCGTATGAAGCATATATTACGTGTATATAGGTGTATATAGGGGTGTGTGTGCGTGTACACGCACACACACACACAAACTTTTATCTATAGCTATAGCTATCTTTGTATCTGTAACTATTTCTTTTTGCAAACTCTCTCTTGCTTTGTCTCTGTATGGCACATATTTAGTTTCTAAAAGTATTGTCTAAAGTTTTAAACAGAGATGTGTGAATAAATGTTCAGAAGAGTAGCCTCGAAGACCAACAATTAGAGTATACGCAAAAAAATAAATCAAGTGTTCAAAAGAATATTTTAGAGAATTCCCAATCAAAGAATTCCCTTTAATAAGAAGCAATGTGGTAAAATCACTGAACAAGGTCTCCTACTCCTGTGATTTTACAGTGATAATTCCTTATGAATTCCTTTCAAATGTGAATCATTTTATGTGTTATTTCACAAAAATATTAGTAGCTAACACTGAATTCTGAAATATAAGACCCAATGGCTGAAAGCCACAAACCTGAAACCTAAGGACAGTATGGTTTTGTGTTTATATCAGGGCTCCCCAAACCTTGAGTGTTACATTCAAGATCCAATTAAATTATTAAAATTGAAAAAGTTGAAAGGCCCAGGTGGTTTTGGGAAACCGAGTCAGCTTCACTCTGTGCTGAAAATGACACGTAGAGGGCAACATCTGAAAATAAAATACCTTTGAGCAGTGATGGCGAACCTTTTAGAGACCGAGTGCCCAAACACTGGCTTTGCCCCCGCTCCAACCCCTGCCCCACTCCCCCATTCCCCGCCCCGCCTGCCTGCAGGGCTACTCACTGCCTCCAGGGCCTGCCACAGATCACCCAGGCAACCCAGCAGCGCTATGGCAGTCACACCCTCTGCCCGCGCCCTGCAACATCAACTGTGCATGATGGGGTGTGAGGGCAGAGTCTTGTCCACGCTGCCTGGCTGCCATGTCCTTGGCAGCGCTGTTCCAGGTGGGCCACGCTCAGGGGCGACTCTCCTTCAGGGGGGCTGCTGGAGAGGGGTGGTACGGGGGGAGGCAAGGCTGGGGCAACGGCACGTATGCCCACAGAAAGGGCTCCAAGTGCCGCCCCTGGCACCCGTGCCATAGGTTCGCCACCACTGCCTTTGAGATTTAAATATACTTCCTTGGAAATGAAATTTCTTTTGCATGTTGTAAACTTTAATGGACTTTAGCTCCACCCTTCCCCTGCTAACTAATGGGGGGGGATCATATATATACAGTATATATAGAATGCAATGCATATTTACACACGATAGACACAAACTTACCTTTGCGTGTCAAAAGATAAATAATAACTTAAGTAAAAACCAAGACACCACAACATGGCAGGCGTCGTTCATACCAAACACGGGAATGTAATGCAATGTAAAGCATTCTCTTTGGTTTTTGGACACAGTGATTGGCAAGCAGCTTTTCTTCCTTTGGGGTTTTGATACATGAGCCACACAGATTCACAGGGCAACACTATCGGAGCATTTGCACATCGAAGTAAAGCTATGCAATTTACATAGACAGTCCAGAAATTGAGGAGGGGGGGGGAGGAGCAGGATGGCATGTGTCCAGCACAGTTCAACAAGGGCATCGTCACCTGTTGTGTTCCAGGCTACAGCTGAAGCTTAAAGAAGAGCTTGCAAAGCAGAGTCAGCAGACGGAGAGCTAGAAACAGTGGATCGTTTGGCGCATGCTTGGGTCAATGACGG